TCATTAGCATCTGGCTGTGTGTGCATTGCAAAATAGCGATACCTACAGGACAGTTGTCTGCTTGCTGGATTTTGGCATCTTGTAGCCCTTTAATTTGGCAGCTTCTGCACTGCTCAGCAGCATATGGCTGCTCCATCAGGCACACGAGCCTTGGTGAAAACAATACTTTGTGGTGGTCTGGATTTGACCGCTCTTAAAGCAATTCCTGATAAAGGAACACAAAGTTCAGGTTATTGCATCTTCAAAGGAAATTCAAGAGTTGACTTTGGCAGTTTGGTCTCTTTTATCTTTTAAATTCAGTCTTAACATACTATCTAATGCAGTATCTCACTCGTATCTTTCCCTAGGTCCCTCCTCAGACTGAATCTACCCATGTCTCCCTCCCAAGCTTTAGTCATTTGTGTTGCTCTCCAACTTCATTCTACTTAGTTTCTGTCTGTTATGCAGAGCACTCTGCCCAGCAGAGCAAGATATTTGGCTTTCAGCTCCGTGATATTCATGTGCCAATGCACCCACGGTATAAAACGCAATGGAACTGGAAATAGTTTGTAACACCCATTCCTTTTGTAACTCTTTAAACTATTTCACACTTCATTTGAAAATCTCTCCTGTGGCAGATGGCTAGAGTGGACTTGAGGAAAAACTGAAGAGCAGAGCTCTGAAAAACTATTACCAGTGAAGAGCAGTCCTCAGATGTTTTTTTCAGTTTTAGAAATAAACCATTTTATACAAACCTGAAAGAAAGTAGAACAAAAGTTGCTATGGTCAATGCCTTGAAAGCACTGAAAAGGTGTCCTTGAGCTAGTTAGAAGAGTAGACTTACACATACGTATCAGAATTTAAGTGTTCAGACGTGGTATTCCTAATGTTACTGATCAGGCAAAGTATAAACGATCATTACAGATTATCTATGACTGAATTGCATGTTTCTCCTGACTGTTATATATCTCTCTCTGTATGTGCTGGTTTTGACTGGAGTAGAGCTTATTTTCTTCATAGTAGTCACTCTGGGGGCTACGGTTTGGATTTGTGACCAAAACAGTGTTGATAACACAGAGATGTTTTTGTTACAGCTGAGCAGGGCTGACACTGAGCCAGGACCTTTTCTGCCTCTCACCCCACCAGAGAGAGGGCTGGGGGTGCACAGGAAGTTGTGAGAGTTGTGGGACAGCTGACCCCCAACTGGCAGAGGTGTACCCCACAACATATGGCATCGTGCTCAGCATACACAGCTGGGGGAAGAGGAAGGGTGAGATGCACAAAGTGATGGTGTTTGTCTTCCCAAGTCAGCACTACATGTGATGGAGCTTTCCTGAGGATGGTGGAACGCCTGCCTGCCCATGGGAAGTGGTGAATCCATTCTGTGCCCTGCTTTGTTTTTGTGTGCAGCTTTTGCTTTACCTGTATTTATCTCAACCCATGAGTTTTCTCACTTTAAACCTTCTAACTCTCCCTCCCATCCCATGAGGGACGGAGTGAGTGAGCAGCCATGTGGTGCCTAGTTACTGACTGGGGTTAAACCACAATGATAGATTGTTACCTAGCTATTTATATACAAGGGTATATATTATGTGTATCTGCTTGAAAAATCATAGGAGGTTACTTTTTTTTAAATTTCAATATAGATACATTTTCTTATTGGGTTATAACTTTCTTACTCTCATTAATATCTGTTCAGTCTGTGTAATGAGTCAATACATTCACATTTTCTGCAGAGAAAATAAAACAAAAAACACTCATCAAGATTAATATGATCCATAAAGGCAGAAGATGATTTTTCTTTTTTGAAGGGCTGTAACTGGGGTAAGATGTTCTTTCTCCCCTTTCCAGTGATTTCTGCATTTGTATTTATAAAACAACCCTACCTCAAAGATACGCTTAAGTCTTGTAACAATTAGAATCATTATTAGGGAAACTGTAAAGTTAAATTCTTCATAATCTTTTCTGTCTGTGGATTTTGAAGCACTTCATATATTGGTATAAAGCACAAAATTCTGCATACCGCTGATAGCTTAAAATCTTCACATTTCCTTAATTTCTCCTCAGGTAAGTAGGATAATTTGCTCCAGACTTATGGCTACTGTGGCAACTTAGAAACTGACTGGAATATTAAATTGACAGTCTGTAGTGGGTTTTATAGGCTTAACTGGATCATAGGTTTTTCCTGAACAAAGAAATGACTTACAATATCCTGCAAACTGAATAAAAACACAAGGTGAAAGCTGGTGGTGGGATTTTGTATTATCTTTTCTCCCTTCAAAAACAGAATCTCAAGAAAATAAGGGATATTAGGTGCGGGTTTTAGAACTGGTAGGGCAGAGTTCCTCAGGCAACAGCTCATCTGGCTCTTCTCCTGTAGGGTTAAAAGGCAAGAAGCCAGTTTGTACCCTGACTTTCACCCCTACCACAGGAAACTTACCATGTACGTGCTCCATGTGGTGTACTCCATCCACCTAAGCCAGTGCTTCACCACCCTCACATGAAGGAATGTCTTCCTACTATCTTACCCAAATCTGCCCTCCTTCAGCATAGGGCCATTTCTGATACCAGTACCCAAATCCACACTCTGACATATCTTTCCAGAGACCAAGGTGAATGCCATAAAGTTAGGTAAACTCAATAATGCTTCCCCACCACCTTTTTTTTTTTTTTCCTCATAATTTCTAATAACTAAAAGCATTAGATAAAAGGCAAAGAAAACCTGGTGTTCTGTTCTCCCCTTCCCTCCCCCATTGGAGACTTGACATCCTCACTTTATTTGCCTTTTTTTCAATAAAATGGAAACCAGCCTGGCTTTTAGATAAGCACTGTTTTAAACACACTGACTCTTAATCTGCTCTCTGGATGGTAAATGTACTGTCACCTCTACCTCTTTTGTAAACTGATTGATCTTTGCTGTATTTCATGCACAGTCCTTCTGAGGTGCTGATGATGAGGCCACTGTCAGGTACCACAAGAATGGGCCCCACCTGGCCTCCTGGGGTCTGAGCCTTTCAGCCAAAAAGCAGAAGCATATAAAGGAAATGATTAATGCCCAAAGGGCTAGATTTGATACCATGATTTCTCATATACGTTCAGACAAGCTGAGGTCTTTTCTAAAAAAAATTGATTATAACTTAAATCAACCTGCAAATGCTGTTTGAAATCATCAAAGTACATGGTATAAAAACTCTTCTGCCCTCTAGTGCTGTGAAGCAGTGTGATATCTTAGCTATACTGATCGGTTTTTGGGAGGGGAAGATATGTAGCATCGCAACCCACAATTTCATCCACTTTTATCACTGCCAAAGGGAAGGGAGGGGAGTTTAAAAGGTACTTAATAATTTTTTGTGTATGAACTTGAGAGAAATATGATCTTAATATCTGAAGCAAAAACAAAAGCTACTAAAAAAGTCTTGAAACAGATAAATTGTGCAGCAGCTTGTTAAGGGCACTTTGGGATAAATTGGAAATGCTACTACTCAATCAAACAGAGAAAAATCTGAAACAACATCTCTGATAGGGAATGTTATGCCATAAGTGAGATGTGTTGTCAAAGCTCCTTTTAAGTAATATTTGCAGTTGTGTGGTGAATGCCAGCGGGGCATTGCTGTGCTCTTCACTCCTGCCTTTGAGGGTCTGGGATTCAGTGGAGACATGCAGAACAGTCTCACCATCTCGGGGGCACCAGAGTATGCTGGCAGAAAGGGAAAAGATCATATTAAATGGCACTGTTAAAGCTCACGGCTCTATCTTTACTAGTTTAATCTCATAAATTAATCCACATCCTCCTAGAATAAGTCTTCAAAGAGAAAGAGGTAATTGGATATAAATACTCTCTTACCAAATGCTGAATTACACTGATATGGCAGCAGGCAGCTTTGGGCGCTTTGATCTTTTTGCATGATTTTCATTCCCCTTTTAAGCCTTAGTCTAGGGCCTTATTGTTCCATTACTTTTCCACTGCCAACTTCAATCTCTGCTAACTAGTTTGTCCTCTAGCCACTCCCTATGGCCCTTCCTGAAGAGGTTCAGCCTTCACCCCTAATTATTCTTTGCTAGCTGTTCTCCTTGTGCTTTCCCTGCAATGCAGCCAGATGAAATATTTGTGTCCACATGTGCATATAAAACCCAGCCAAGACTCTGATGTGTGGGGCCAACTTCTACTTAGTGCATTTCTGGTAAACCTGCACCCCCATGGCACAGCTTTTGCTGAGTGGGAGCCATGTAAACTCCTACTCACACAATACACCATGGAGATAAAACCCTTTGTCTTCTCCAAGTGGAACTGACATGTTTTCATCACTCTTTTGATCACCTCGAGTCTCTTAATACACTGTGAACCCTGTCTTGCCTCTTTGCTGTCACATTAGATCGATAGCTCCTTGAGACAGCAACTGCATTTTGAATTAACTCTGGCAAAACAGGCCCTTGTCCTGATTCAGTGAGTCACACAGCAAGATGAATATGCTCAAGGGATTCCCGGTGCCTGAAAATGAAAGGCTGACAAGGAAACTGAGGCTCAGGCAGAGAATAAGTCCTCTGGGTCCATCACAAACAGTGTGACTTTGCACACTCCTTGGGCAGCTTCTGGGCAGACTGCTTAAGCCCACAAGGTGCTTGGTGCCCACAAGGTAAGGGGTGGGCCTGCCAGCACCAGTGCTCTTCCCAGTAGACAGTGGTCTTCCACATGGAACATTTTGATTCAAGGAAGAGATTTGATTTGAAATGCATGAGATCTGAGGTCAGCAGTCTAGAGTAAGTCTTGAATAAGAACAGCAAAGGCTATGCTATAAGTTCCTGAAAATATTTTCTTTGGTATCTGCTGCGAATTCTAAATATAACAAGTATTTCTAGAGTACTTACCAAAAATTCCTAAAGGGCTGAATCAGAATAAATACTAGTTTTCATATGAAGTTGTTTGCTACAAGAGGAGAAAACTGACTCTGCTGATGAAGGAACTCTTTCTAGTCCTGATTTTATGTAAACAGGAAAAATAAGAGTGTATTCTTTCATTTTAGTGTTGGCCCATATGTCTTGGTAACTCCAAATGAAACCAGAAGAAAACAGTTGCAACAAAGTAAGTTCAGTTGTGTAATCTTGTAATACATTATTTCTACTTGAATAACTTCAGGGCTTTAGCATTTTATTGCTCTTGCGATTTTTATCCTCGTTTTTACAACTGTGTTATATGTACAGCTATGACAGTAATGCCAGTGCTCTGAGCATTTTCCATGATCATGTAGCTTTTCTTAAGATTGACTCATCATCTGGCTTCACTTCACGCAGAATAAATCTTGTTTGGAAGGGTTTTGGTAATTTCAGTGCAAGTGCTGTTCACGATGGCTTCTACAAGATTATGCTGGAATTAGCTCTATCCAACTTTTACAGGGTTGAATTAATATTGGGTAACTTTGAACAGTCTCAGGGTTAGGAGGAGGAAGAACAAAAATATAAATAAATTTTTTTTAAGATACTCCCATGTGGAAACAAAAGCAACTGCAGACGCTGTTGGTCCTTGAACATGCATTTAAGGATTGCAGGTGAATCTTTTACTGAATCTGGTAAAAGTCATTGTAGATGGAAAGTATTTGTGGATATATGTTCACTTTTGCTTGGCTTTGAGTCTTGCTGGTGAAAGTAGCTAAGCAGGAACGAACACACTAAGCCTCTACCAGAAAGATCAGGCATATGTTGAAATCTTTTATTGGCAAAGTTACAGCAAGGGTCAGTTGTGAAATAAATTCTATATTCAGAGGTGACTGACTGAGCAGAGCAGTCCTACACACCTGAGCATTGATTTATGCAAGACATGAAAGCTGAAGGAATTTGAATCAACATTTCTCAGGTGTTGAGTCCTCAAGGAAACAGTGCAATTAAATCCTTTCTTCTCAAACATTGTGAGTTTGCCTGAAATGCTTTACCAGCAGGCTGGTATGGGCTGGGTTTCCCTTTGGTTGCAAGAAAGAAAATGGACTTAAAATCTTTTTGAAGGAAGAATAGCAGCAGATCATCTTTGACCTGACTGTAATGTTAACAGCAAAGGTGCTGCTGCTGTGATAAAGATCTGTTTTCACTTTGTGGCACCAGTGTGAAAGGTCTGAAGTATGTCAAGCATTTCTGTCTCAGACACTGGCAGAAACAGGACCTCACTGAATGCATTCTCTACTTAAATGCTTGTTTTAAAGGTGAAATAAAAAGCTGTTATTTGTCTTTTGGGTCTCTTTAGAAGCTTACCCAAATACTGGCTTTATCCTCTTAGAGGAGGGCTGGTGTTAGCCAGCCATTAGGATATACAGTCAGTAAGACTGAAATAAGCTCCCTAGAGCAACTCAAGTGCTAGTGTAAAACACAGCACCTCTTTCCATAGGCTTCATTTGCCTTGCTATTGAAAGTAATTGTTTTTTTTCCTCTGCCAGTCAGCAAATAGAGAAGTGAAATCAGCCATCCTAGAGCATATGGCTGCACCCCAGCTCTATTGACTTCCACTGACTACCCTGGGAGCTTGCTGCCCATCTCACATGTGGGTGCCTATGTTGAAGTGTCTCAATTTGAAGCTGATTCATGCATTCTGCCTGTTTTTATTTGGGGAGCATGTGGTTGGGAGGGAAAATTACTTTTCATTTCCCTGCTGGGGAGCATTACACCTCAAGGATTTCTCTCTATGCAGCAATAACATCTTCATCGTAACAACTTCTGCTTTACCTGCAGGAGTAAATACTGTGGCACTTACCTGTAGGTTCCCAGAGGTTAAAAAGCAGTCTGTTATCACCCTCCTAGCTGGTTTCAGCTTTGTTTTTGGGGTTGAGTCCTAGGGTTGCTCACCATTACAGTCTCAAGTTAGGGAAAATGTTTGCCTTATTAGCTGATCATTGCAGTGACTGTGTAACCTCTTGTGGGGGTGTCTGCATCCCTTGAGACCAAGTTCCTGGATGGTCTTCAGGATTACATGCAATTAGCAGTAATGTCTTCTTTTTAGTATTCCTCTAACTTCTGTATATTTATTTCTTTTTATACCTGCCCAGTTGCTAAGAAAGAGCTTGATGACCTGGAGCAATGGAAGAAAGAACACAGGCCAGGGCCTATTATGTTGGTGCCACAGAGACTGGGTAAGACATGTAAATCAGCAATTGAGAAATGCAGAATTTAATTTTCCAAGACATGGGACATTTTTCACTTTTTCTTGCTACTTATTATGAAGAGATTCAGTGTCAATAAAGGCTGACATGAGCCCATTGTATGTGCTCTGTACTTCTTGATGATCATGGCAAGGAAGATGTTTCTGAACAAAACAGCACAGATTGTCACTCACGAAATCTGTCAAGATCAGAGTAGAAAATCTGTACTAACATTTGGGGAAAACAGGTGGATTAACCCTCCTGCTGTTTACACTGTCTGTGGTTGATGTCTCGGAGGGGGGCACACACTTGTCATTAGTGTGCAGATGGACAGCATGTTGGAGACCCTCCAGTTACCCATAAAGAAACTCCTCTGTTTCACTATGCGTGCTTCTCTGGCTGCTGGCTCTTGAAGAGGCAAAAGTGATCCCTGCAGCTTCAGCATTTGCAGGCTAAATGTGCATGAAGCCCTGTATGACCAATTTTATAAAGATAAAAACAGACAAGTAAATGAAAAACAGGGTAAAAAGCTGCAAGAACTTAAGACACCCTGAACATAACTGATGTGTTTGCCAAGATAACCAAGATGTTTTCTAGATGGGTGAGGGAAAGTGTAGGAGATATCTTGAATTGCAACCACTATAAAGTATTGAATTCAGTGACATTTCAGACTTAGTTAAAAAAAGTTTTAGAAAAGAAGAGCTGCCCTTCCTTACTGTGGCTGTTGTAGGAGAATTTGGGGTACACAGGGCAGGATGTGGTCTGCTTTGACCTGCAAATTAAGTTCTTTCTCTGCCAGGCTACACAAGTTTGTGGTGGTGTACAGTGCATAAAAATAGACAGCAGTGGAATTTGAACTGACTCCAACCCAGAGGTGATTTTTGGGTCAAGGTGATCCTGGTCCCACCTGTTCTGCCCTGCAGCTGACTCACAGTTGTTTGCAGTGGTGGCAATGCCCTGTATTCCTGCCATCATGTGCAGTTGTATGGTCACAGTCTTTGTGAGTTCAGGTGGAACATCTGCCTTTTGCTTGTGAGTAGCTCCTGGAAGACGTCTGTCACAAGAAGACCACAGAGCTTTTTGCTGAAGAAAGTGACATCTGGAAAAAAAAAAGAGTGGTTTGTGTGTGCTGGGTGCGTGACTGAGGGTGTCTCTTAAAGCTTCAGTGACTGAGTGCTGGGAGTCTTAACTTCTGGCCCCGCATCCATCTTGACAAAGAAGCAACTTAAGGGGAAAAAAAAAAGTAAGAAAATATGATGTCATTAGTCATTCTCTAGCTGCCACCTAGACTCCTGAGACTGAGACACAGGCACCTGTGTTCAATGCTTCTGAAAAGAACTGAGGTGCAAAGATTATTAGAACATATCATTCACACGGGGACAAATTTGGAGCTAAAACAGCATCTCTAATTTCACCGCTGTAGGTACTCATTAAAGGAAAAAAGTATTGTGTTATTTTCTCAGAGTCATTTTAAGGGATTACACATCTAGTTCAAATCTCTAAATAAAGTTGAAGTTCCTTAAAGTTGAAGTTTTTTAAAGTTGAAGTTTTTTAACACTTGTGCTTTCCATAGGGAAATAAGTATTCTGGGTTTCAACTCTGTAATAAACTTTCAGGCATCATGGAGAGGTGAGAGCAATGAAGGGTGTAAGTTCTGCTCTCCTCTGTGGAGAGGACAAGTGGAGCAACAAATCATGCCTGATAAATGCAACAGTCTCTTTTCTGGCATTATTTATACGATCACAACACCCTTTGGCTTCAGTGAAGTGTTTGACGCGTTATAGCCAAGCCACCTTGAATGAATTAAACCTGGCTGAAAGGCTATAGACAATTTCTAATAATGATTGGGAAAATGTTTGTTCCAAGACAATGTCCACCAGTACCAGCAAAAACACTACAATGCATAAAAGAAATGTTGTCAATAAGAGACTAAAAGTAGAGAAAGATTAGACATCCAAGAGGTTTCAAAACCTGTTTAGCAGCAGTTTTATTTTCTGGACCTGGGGAAGAGACACTCTACAATGCCAGCTATGTGCTTATTACTACTCTAAGCTTATTGCTTGTATACTGCATGGCCACCCTCTCTTGAGATCTTACCTTAGGGATTTATTTGTGTCCATAGAAATGTTGCCACACTTAGGGAATTGATCTCCCATTCACTGAATGTCACAAAAGCTCCCAAAGATTAGTTACCTTCCATTAGTAAAAGGAGAGAGCTACCTTTGGACAGAGTCATCCCTCCTGAAAAGCCTAGTATAGTTGTCTTACATTTCATAGAATGGTTTGGGTCTGAAGGAAACCTTAATATAATTTAATTTTAACCTCCCTGCCAGGGATAGGGACACCTTCCACTAGACCAGGTTGCTCAAAACGCAATCGAACCTGGCCTTGAGCATTTCCAGAGATGGGACATCCACAGCTTCTCTGGGCAATCTTTGCCAGTACCTCAGCACCTCGTAGTGAAACATTTCTTTATTATATTCAATCTAAATCTCTCCTCTTTCAGTTTAAAGCCATTCCTCCTTGTCTTACTACTGTGTGCTCTTGCATAAATTTTCTCTCCAGCTCTCTTGTAGACCCCTTCAGGTACTGAAAGGCTGCCAGGAGGTCTCCCCTGAAGCCTTCTCCTCTCCTGGGGGAACAATCCTGGTTCTCTCAGCCTGTCTTCACAGGAGAGGTGTTCCAGCCCTGTGATCATCTTTGGGGCCCTCCTATGGACTCAGTCCAGCAGGTCCACGTCCTTCTTAGATTGAGGACTCCAGAGCTGGATGCAGCACTGCAGGTGGGGTCTCACCAGAGCAGAACAGTAGGGCAGAAGACATTCCCTTGACTGGCTGCCCATGCTGCTTTTGGTACAGCCCAGGATATCAGGATACCTAAGGTAGCACAGATTGGTCCAGCCACTTCTATGGAATTAGGAGTCACATAGAGGGGAATTTCTCATGAGAACAATAAATTGGGAAAATAGAGCCCCCATCCTCAGAATGGAGTGAAGGCTGCTGTTATTTTTTGCAACAACAGAAGGGAATAAGTTATTTCCTTTTCTATGGCAATAAAATACTTTGGAAAATAGAGCAGAATAATAGAATCAAAGTCACTCCCTCCATCCCTTAAGACCTAGTATCACTTTCTTTGTGTGGTTGTGTGTTTTTTTTGTTTCTGGGGGTTTTGTTTCTTTTTATTGAAGGCTGAACATTATGGCTAGAGCTTTAGATATTCACAAAAGAGAGTCCATGGCTTTGGAAAAGGACACCTTCTACCACCTGGATATGAATGTGAGGTCTGTGGAAAAAGGCTTTTACTTCCATTTCAGAAAGGGGATTCTTCCTTCAGCCCCAAGACATTACTTAGAAAATATTAAAATGATAGCATCCCATTAGAGCTGGCAGAGTCTCAAATCCTAAGTTTGATAAAAGAGAAACTTTTGAGCAATAAACTAGCTGACTGTATGTGTGTGACAAACTGAGCAAAGGTGGGATAGCTGGATGTAAAAATGAAAACTTACCTGCAAAGCATGACTGATTTTCTGAAAATTGAATAGTTCCTCAGTAAACTGATCATATATTGTAGGAACATATTTGTTGGTAGAGTGGATGATACAATGGGTGCTCTGTAAATAAGAGGCAAGTGCTTTTGATGGATGAAAAAAATTATCTAAAAGGTCTCCTATCTGTTCTCTTTAATGTCAGGCAGCTACTGTAATTATGAAAAATTTCCTGTATATACATACATCCAATCCGTTATATTGCTGTATTCTGAAATGACCGGCATTTGTACTTAAAATGTGCATACAAAGTGCCATTTATATTTTTTGCTTTTTTTAAGGTGGAAACGAATCAGAGACTCAAGTAAGACAAAACCAGCAAATGATTCTCATGCAATCTAAATACCAGAAAAAGGTCAGTAAGAATAAATGTGTTTGTTTATTTTTAGAACTCAAAAGAAATTTTTTCCTACAGTGTTTTGTATGACTGTAAAATGAACTCACAGCTGCTTGACAGGAGAAAGTCACAAAACTTGAAAGAAGCAGCAGAAAATCAGCAACTAATGTTCTGCACCAAAGAAAATGAGAAATCTTTCCATAAATATGTAGCAATCTGTATCACAGATGATATCTCAAATAACAACCAGAACAGTTGTAAAGCGACTTAAATGCTGTGCTGTATCTTCCGGCATGCTGCTTACGCTTGGACTAATTGATCAATGTACCACCCTGTCCCGTGCTTATGTAGAAATGTTCTTGCTACAAGAGGTATAAATGCTTGTAAGTTATCAGTCAGCTGTGTGAGTCCTTGCATGGATGCCCATTTATCAGTCCTAGATTTCTCAGCCTTCTTAAAGCCAATACTGGAGTAGCTGTTGTGCAGCCTGCATTATTCAGTTTCTTATTCTAGGGGGAAAAAATCCAGAAACTTTCCCCTAACACACTTTAGATTTGAAAGACGTACATTATAGCAATCAAGTTCCCTTATATGTTCCTGGTACACATAAATATGTAAAATAACTTCCCATGTTTATGTCACGCAGCACAAGAGAGAAGAGTATATAAAAGCAAAAAAGGCAGCTGAAGAAGCTGAAATCCTGAAAAAGAAAGCAATTCAGAGAGAAAAGGTAAATCTGGTTACTGCAGATTTGAAGACATATACCAGTTCATGTCTTGATGACTGATTTTGCAGAACTATATGGAGCTGGCTAAATAAATTAAACAGTGGCCCTGGGTGATATTGAGGAATTAGGAAAAGTAGTCCTCCTCTTCCTCCTCCTCCTCTTTGTAGCTGACTGAAGAATGCCTGCCTGGGGTTTTCGGGGGCTTGAGTGTTCCTTTGGCTCATCAGAAACTCCAGCCTTTCAGTTGTATCAATCTGGCAGAGTTAGCAGAAGGGGAGAACACAAAGGTCAGGAGTAACATTGTGTGTAGGTTATATGGTTCACTTTGGCATGAGCGCCCTCTCTAAGATTGGATTGTAGCAGTTGGCACAAAGACCTTACAGAAATCCATAACTGCCTGTGCACATGGGAATACTAGAAAATCTAGCCTGTCAGGTTGGAAAAGATATCCAGATCATGGAAAGGTCAGTGTAGTCTACCTGCTTTGTACTAAGAGCACCCTGAAATTCAACTGCCCCTCCAGCCCTTCTACAGCCTGCAAACACAAGTGTCTTGCTAATAGGTCAGATCACTCTTCCTTCTAATATTCTCCATATGATTGACACTAATAATAGCTCAGTTTCAAAATTTCTTTTTTTATTTTGAATTTGTTTGCTTTCCCTAGTTATTCTCACAAAGCATCTTCTTGTCCTTTGTGCTGCACACCCTTTGTAAAAGTTCATTTGTGTCTCCTTGGTGGCAACCAAGTAATACTTGCTTGAGAATGCAGTGTGGAATTTAAATGAAAAATTAAAGGGGAGGGAGCATAATACTGATGTACTCATTAACAAGGAGAGGAAGGGAGATTTCAGGTTTGCAAATTTTGTCTCCGCAACAGTAAAAATTACTTTCTGTGCAGAGGCTGAATGTTGAGAGTTAATTAAAAAGCCATCGATACTGATTGGCATACAAAGGCATGCATAAACAAAAACAACTGTAATTGCCTCTAGGTAAGGGTTAGTCTGTTCCTGGTCTCTCAGTGGTTAGTATTATACCTTGGGCATGAGCCCATACATAACAGCTCACAGGGACAATAAACATTATTACCTGAAAATAGCTTAACGTTACCATCTCATGTATAGCTCAAGATGCAGTGATGATAGCAGTGGAAGAGAGTGCATTAATTATTTAATATATGTTGTTTGCCCATGGCCATTGGACAAGAAAAATGTTACAAGACTGCTATAATTTCTAGTTATACCTGGAAAATATATTGATGTATCAAGTTTGTTTTCATGCTCTTTAATTTCCTTACCTTCACTTCCACAGATTATAAAATCTTTATAGATGTTGTAGATAGTAAAACTGTAAGTATCCATTTTTTTCTGAAGGAGGATGCAACATCACAGCAAACATCTTTGCCAAACAGACTGTCTAATTTGACTAAATAAACATATACCCACAAAGCAATTGAACAAAACAGAGGTGCATGAAAGGGAACTCTTAGTTTGAATTTGTTTATTCAGATTGTCTTCCAAAACAATGATTGAGCTGATGGAAATTTCTTCGTGGAAGATGATTAGGTATTAAAAATTCAACCTTGTGTTTAAGAAGAGCATGCTGAGAAGCCACCAGAAGTCAATTTGGCTATCTCACCCTGTCTACAGATGAAAGGCTCCTAAGACCTGAGAATGACACTGATCCTATTGGTGCTGTACAACCAGTGCTGGGCTCTGTTTACCAAAGGAAAGGAGCTTTTTATTTGAAGTGATAGATTTGTATTCAACTACACCTGTAGGGCACTGGCTGAGAGCATGTCTTTCTGCAAGTTCACAGGCCGTCTTTCCTTGCTGGCTAGCCCTTCTTTTGCTTAAGGTTATTATTCATTCAATAAAAACCAAATTGTGTGACAGTCTGAGAGGAGATAATAGCTAGCCAGCTTTATCAGCAGGAGCCCTGGAACTTTCACAGCTGTAAGGCTTCTTTGCCAATAGACTGAATGGTGAAGCCCTACAGACTAATGTGCGATGACTAGAACGGGTGCTGACACTCAGCTCAGTTCTTCCTTGATTGTAAGGATAATGTACTGTAAGCCAGTGCTGCTTGTGAACTTAGGATCTGTCGATGTTACTGTTTTAATGCTGGTTTTACAGAGAAAAGCAGCATCCCCTTTCCCATTATCTTTGTGAACAAGTGAAAACTGTGTCTGCCAAAGCATTACCCAAATACAGAAGGTCTGCTTTACTATCTGTACGAGTCCACCTGCCTGTCTTAATTAACCATGGGCTTATTAGCTGCTGGAAGACCAGCTTGGCATCTACCTTGTCTCTCTCCAGCTTCCAGAGAGAGGAAAGATTCTTCATTCTATGCTCCACAGGGCCACCTTGTGCAAACAAATACTCAGGTCTCCCGCGCACTTCCTGACAGGTAGTTTGTCCTGGGGTTGTTGGGGTTTGTTCATGGGGTAAGCATGGGCTGCCTAAGGTTGGGTATTCAAAGCTAATGATCTGAGTGCTGAGTGAAATAATTTGGAAAAGGCTTTGTAACATGAGCAGGGAATTCCCTTTTTCTGTATTTTTCCCTGATTCTGAGATGCGAGTCTAATCCACAGAAAGTATTGAGACATGAGAGGTAGGTTTTTTTTATTATTTGCTCATTAGTAGTAGATATTTTTTTATTATTTGCTCATTAGTAGTAGATATCTGGAGTTGGTATCTTTTATGCAGCCCTTCACATCACAGTGTTTGACCAGATTGGATCATAATTTCCTTTGTGTCTATTGGGTGAAAGGACTGTCAAAGTTCCCCAAAAAATAAGCAAGCAGCTGATACTGGCCTTCTTATTTTTTAAACTTTTATCATTTGTGTTGTATGTAAAATTGGATGACTCCAGTGCAACAGATATTTCTGTTTCCTGTCACTGAATTTCTATTGCTGTTACCCTGCCTTTAGTCTTCCCTTGTATAGTTTAAGTCTTGACTAAGTATTAGGAGATTCAAACAATATGAAGTAAAAAAGCTCAGAGTAATTCCACTGCATGCAATGTTTTTTTCTCTTACATTATATAGTAAACAGTATCCTGCCATCTTCAGAAACTGTCTTATTTAGGATAAGCTGTAATTTAGTTTTATTTTTATCAAATTATGTGCTCTTTAATTTGACTGTGTTAATCAGCATGAGCGGCCTTTTTTCAGGAATTTGTTAAAACCAGGCACTTTACAGACCTTCTGCTAACATTTTTCAGCATGTTTACCTTCAATATCACAGCTGTTCCACACTTGGCTTTTTGAACATGGTGCCAAATGTGGAGTGCTTTGGCAATGTCTATTGATACATTGTCATTAGTTAGAGAATGCCCCCGTCCTGTTGCCTGTCACTTGTGTGCATCCTTAAGCAGGTGTCCTAGAGTAAACTTCCAGAGTGAAAAATAGCCATGCCAGCCACAAGTGAGTAATTTTAATATGCTGGAGTTTTCTTCAGGTACCATTCTGGTGGTAGAGCAGCTGCAGGATATTCTTTTATTTTTTCATCTAGTGGGAGACAGGGTTGCTACTGAAGGTTTGTATTTATCAAAGTTAATATCACCATTCTCTAGATATCACTAGCTAGGAGCTAGACCACAACAAGCCCCATGAGCTTTGGACTTTTTTGGAACTTTTTGAATTTCTTTTTTTTAACTTTCATGAGCCTTGCAATATGATGGTGGATCCCACATCCAATGCTTTTTCAGAGGTGAAGGCATTAGCTTGCAGTATTGGGCAGTATTGGGGAAAATCCTGGGAGCTATGGCTAGTGCCTCAAGGGTACCAGCATCACCTTTGCCAATAACACAAGCCATAAGATTTCTTTTCTGCCTCTTTCCTTTCTTTTCCTTTAAGCTGTGAAGCTGCACAAATGAGTGGGAGTTTTTTTGCCTAAAACATTAACTGTGTCTAGGTTAAGAGCAAACAATGTATCCCCTGAACACTAAAATCACCCATACTGTCTAGTGATGCTCCTTACTACAGTTTGGTTAAATTGTTGAATTGTGTCAGTATGTGATATGTTCTGTCACTGTCTCTGCATGTCAAATGAGTGAACAACAGGAGATCTTTTTCAGAGATTCGCCTTCCTCCTTTGTTTATTTCTCACTGCCTTTTTCCAAATAACAGCTTCAAAGTCTTTCGCCTTCCAGCAGTTTATATCATCACACAACATAGTGGCTCTTTTCCTATCTGCAGACATCTGAAAGGATTTTTTTTTCTTAATCCAATGCATGCAAAGGAGGAATTTGCACTTGTTTTGCAAATCTCTTTCAGACAGTCATTCTTTATCCAATTAAAAAATACGCATCCTGAAATTGCTAAAGGCAAAATAATTGAGTAATTGCCAGTAGAATTGTAATTTTTCTGAAATGTTTTTCATTGCAGGACAGGAAGAAGATTATGGAAATGGGAGTTTCAGCTCTATTCTTAACACCCCCTTACCCCCTTACACGTTTCTCCCTCCCTGTTCTCCCTCTCCTTGCAAAGTATCTCTGGTCAGGCAGTGTTCTCTCCCTGATTTGGGGCTCTAGCCACAGGGGCCATTTTCACCTACATTTCCCTCCTCATCTCTGCAAGGTATTGTCTGAAATTTCCAGGGAACTTTGTTCAGAGCAATGTCTGGTTGCTGGGTTACCAAGCAATTGCCTTTTTTCATTTTGAGGGTGGGCAACAAGCAGAGTGACAGTCCGAGGCTGTATTTTGCTCCACATGCGAATTGTTATGATCATTTCCTGGGAGCTCTTACTGGAGCATCCCCCCCACCAACTGCAGTGTGGGAGTTGAAATATAGCAGGCTGAAATCTCAGGTTGCCACTTCTAATTTCTGCTTTTCATACACTGAACTGCCTTTTAACTGCTCTTCCCTCTGGACCTAACTGCATCCTATGGCCAAAACAAAAATTTGGCTGGCCTCCTTTTCATGGGAATTTAGCTTGAACTGCATGTTGGAAATTATGCACAATTTTGTATTAAAAGACTTAATCATTTGTGTGGTATCCAGATTTACGGAAGAGTTTTATGTATCAAGGATTTGGTTGGCTCTTGCACCAGATATGGTATCTGAGGCAGAAGAATGTTGGTGAAGTACAAATGTCTTCCACTTTCATCAGCCTTAGCATGTATTCAACTATCCAGTACCTAATGCTCCTGCAGGTCAGGTCTGTGGGCTACATGTACTCACATCACTGCACTGTCAGTGCCACAGGACTATCATCTGCTTTGGTGCAGTGGTTTAGGCCTACTACCTTCTTGCAAGGACCAAGGTTGCATCAGTTGCTCCCCGAGATGTCAGGGCTGTGACATGACAGCTGTGAAGGCTCACTAGGCCTTTTGGGTACATGGGTACTAGGAGCACCAGGTCATTTTCTAATTTAAACAGGTCTCTTGACTAGGAGATGTTTGTTCATGAGTGAATACTTTTGAATTTTTAAACTTGAGATTGTGTCACTTCTGTACGTATCTGCTATAGATCTTTTAAAAACCAGAATATTGAAATATTGGAATTGAAATAAATGATGTTTGTTTTTGGCTTTTTGTAAACCTCAAGTATTTTTTCCTGGTTTTAATGCTCTAGGCAGAAAGACTTGAAGTTAAAAAAAGACAAGAAGAAATGCAAAGAAGAGAGATGCTTCTTGAAGATCAAAAGTAGTAAGTATAATCTGAAACCTATTACCTAAAATTCCTTATCTACTTGTCCTTCTGTTTTGTTTGTTTGGGTTTTTAACTATTATTTAATATTATCTTATTTGTTTGATTTTTTTTTTTCCTGGTTTGGGGCTCAGAAAATATTTGGTTTCTGTTGCTATTTTTTTCAGTTTTTGACTTGATTGACTTCAAGACAATGGGCAAAAATTGAACAACAAGAGGTTCCAACTGAACACTTTTTTACCCTGAGAGTGGCTGAACATGAGAACAGGTTACCCGGGCAGGTTGTGGATTGTCCATCCTTGGACATATACAAAAGTTTTGGGCAGCTGTCTCAAGGTGGCTCCGCTTGAGTAGAGGGTAGGACAAGATGACACCCAGAGATCCCTTCCAAACTCAATGATTTTATGATTCTGTGAAATATTCAAACCTCCTCCACACCTTTCTGTGAGAAATTTTGTCCTGTAGACCTCTCTTAGCTTCCTAAAACATACACTTTGAAATGAAAGTTGTGAATTATAAAATTACCTTGTGCTTTCGTTTTCTAACAGAATCGATACATAATCATTCAATCCAAGACTAATTATCAAAACAGAATCTAAATTACGTCTCCACCCATTTATTTTGTTGATTAATAAAGATGTCTAACCCACATGTAAATAATGAGGACTTCCTCTATTTAGTTTAGCATAGTCCTACTTAAATATGGAGATCTGTTGTAAAGACTTATTTTCCAAGAATCCCTCCTTAATGTCAGATTTAGCTGCGGCCTAAGTCCTGGTATAATTAATTCCATTGGCAGTGAAGTTCCTGCCTTGCCCATTCACTCTACACCCATTTATTTGTTTTTAACTGTTCTAAACTGATTCTATCACATAATTAACACACAATGTTGTTTAGTTACCTTTATCTTTTTTATCTTTGGCTTCTGAAATTACTCACCAGTATTCTTAGCTGGATTGATTGCTTTTTCCTCCTCTGTGACCTTTAAAGAAATCCTTTCTGTCCCATGCTAGTTCCAGTTCCTTCATCATTTGCCCAGACTATGTTCTCTAAGCTACAGACATTTTAGTGCTTTGTCACTGATTCCAGCTTTTCTTGTATTTTTCCTTTTGTTTCTTCCCATTCCCATTTTGTTTCTTTGGCTTTAGGCATAGCTCTTTCCCTTAATATGTTGCCAGTATTTGTCTCTAGATATTGGTGTTTGGCTTGCTGTTTATCCTGGTGTGGATGCCTACACACACACACCCACACCCACACACACACCTTGATTCCTCAGGAATTCTGAAGACCTCACAACTTTAGATCTCTACTTGCTTCTGACAGACTAGACATTTTGATTCTCTTTGAGCCTAAATCAACAACAGACACATCAGATCTTTGCAGTGCCAGGTCCTCAGTTATGGGCCTTGCTTTTCCTCAGGGGGTTGTCAGGGTTCTTGGCGTCCCATTTAATCTGATTTCTTATCTTAAAGCATATTCAGTTATGAATGACACATACCTCCTCCCTTCCTTCATCTTCCCTGTCTTTATTTTTTTTTGCTTAGGGTGAAATGAATTCTGCTGTTGAGTGTTCTTGTCCATTAAAAGTAAATTTGGTTTTGCAAAAGCAGGCCCAAAGCCTCTGAAACACAGGAAAACAGGAAACAGCCACATATGAAAAATTCCTTCACCCAAAGAGTGGCCAAGCATCGGAACAGGCAGCCCAGGGAAGTGGCTGATTCACCATCCCTGGTGGTATTTGAAAACCTGTACGTGTGATGCTTAGGGAAATGGTTGTGTGCTGGACTTGGCAGTGCTGCATTAATGGTTGGACCTGATGATTGTAGAGCACAAATGATTCTATGTGGGCAGTCAGGTAGTCCCCAGGTGGTACAGGAGCTCTGGCTGCCCGGGCACCTGGTGCCATTCTGTCATCTCTGATGCAACTGAAAGTGAAGAGGGACTCATCACTAGAGTGTCTCAAGCTTCATTGCTTGAGTTCAACTATCAGAACTTTATTTGTATGTGCTATGTATTGAACATACACCAGGAGGGCCCTGTAGATGCTTCCCCTGGAGGAAGCAAGCTGAAAACCTACCTCCAGTGAATGCAATTTTGGTTAAGCAAAGCCCTCCCATGCTTCAATGCTCAGGAAACTTTCCTGTCTGGCCATCCAGGACCCACTCTGTCGGTCGCCCTCATGCCACCTGAGCTGGGACTGAGGCCCCTTTGCAGCCACACCCCCACATTCACACAGTCACACCAGGTTCAAGCCAGGTTTCCTGTTGCATTGTCTCAGATGTCCAGATACTTAAAATAATTTAATCATGGTGCAATAACTAAATAATAAAATAGCAGCTTGAGCTTGTGCATCCAAGGAGGAACTCTGAACAAAGGAACCCATGGGCTTTTATTGCCTCACCAGTCTAAGCACAGGGAAGTCTGGGGGTTGTCAGCTCCTGTTGTTTCTCCCAGTATCCATTCCCCTGGCCATGTGACAGGTCCTCAGGCCCTTGGTTATGCAAAAGGTTGGCAGTTCATGGCCTTTTGCCTGGGGCTCAGGTTCCAGCCCCTCAGAGCTTAACCTGCAGCTGGACAGTGAGCTACCTTCATAGAATATATTTCTCAGCAGACACAGTGACACTAGTGCCTTCCTTGGTCTGAAGGAATTCTCTGGTGAGCACAGGAAGAGGATGGTGTAGCACTGGAGGTTGTTGAGGATGCATTGCTAAGAGACGTTGGCTTTAAGGCGCGCAGCACCCAAGAGTAATGAAAAGTGTCTGTGTGAGATTTCAGATTTTGTGAAGTTACTCCATTGAAGTACTGCTGGTTATTAGTGACACGTTCACATAGAAGTGCTTGGTATTTAGAGATGTGCTTTTGCCTACCATGTGAAAATGAGTGACTCATTACTTCCTTCCTCTAAGACCCTTCGTCTAGAGGCAAAGAGAACAAATATGAGGTTGTGCCCCTTTCCTCACTGTCTCTGCTGGAGTATTTTGATCTCCACTGCCTGCTGGGAATGGGAGAAGGAAGGTCATGTGCTGCATATAAAGCAGTGACCTCTGCAAAGTCATGGCCTATAGAGCCATTTCAAAAGATAAGCTCCCTTGTTAGTCTGTCCTCTGTAAGGTCTGTAGCTGCAACATCACAATTTTCCTGAGGAGATCAATGCCTACCAGCAGTCTCATTAACTGGGAAACCTTTTAAAATTGATCACCACCTCCAGCTGTATCAGCCTCCAAGGGGTACAGCCCAATCAGTACCTCTCCTGCATGAAGTGTCCCTTTTATTTGATAAGGAAAGGCACTTAAGATTCTCATGTCATTAACATGCTGACAATAAAGTATGATGCTGCCCAGAATTTAGTTTTTCTGATTAAATTCCTTTCACTATTAAAAACAAGAACTTCTCACTGAAATCCCTTTTCAAAGGGTCTAACATGAAGTGAGTGCTAAAAAGAAAGATTGTCTGTAACCTTGTGTGCTGTCTACAGAATATAGTTTTCTCCTATCTCTTGAAAGCCTTGTTATCTTTGTGTACAACAGGTCCTTGAAAGTTAGCTGTATCTGTTACCACAGCTGCTTGAATATGTGTTTGTGCCTTGTGAGAATGTAGTCTAGACAGGCATGCAGATTGCCATGAAGAAGTCTGCAAGCCTCACAATTTTGGGATCACTTCCTCCTCTGACCCCAGTGGACTCAGGCTTTGTTCAGTGACTAAAACAGAAAAAACTCACAAGGTGTCTCCTGAAGTTGCTGTGTATTAAAAGCCTTAAGGGCTCACAGGAGCAGACTTTGGGGTGGAGAAGTTGCTGCACAGCAGGATGACTGTAGTTTATGCTAACAGAGGAGAAGCACATGAGGGATTTGTTGGTGACTACTTTGCTGTAGTTCTGCCCCTGCAGATGCCAGATTTAGAAAATGGGAAGTATGTGTTGACTTTTTACCAGAAACTGCTTACACATGAAATGGAGTCCTTCCTTCTAAGTCATGGTACCCTGGATGCATTTTGCATTATAAGCCTGATTGTGTTTCTGTCAGAGAGCATTAGAAGGTAACGGAGACTCGTGTAGTCTGTACTTTGCAATTGCTAATCCATGTGAGGGAAGAACTGAGTGCCCATCTTTCCAAAAGCAAACAAGGAACAGGACTTTTCAGGACATCCCTCTTTAGTTAGCACACCACAGTTGTCATTTAAACAGTAATGAGGATGGATATGTCATGACTGTGTGTTTACAGAGGCTTGCTGTGCAGGCTGTGTGAGTCTGTGTCTGAACTGTAGGGTGTCTTACCAGGCGGTTTTAGCTCAGGTCTCTAGTTAGATGCTTTTATTATATTTGTGTTCAACTTTCCAGAAATTGTAGTGTTGGATGGAGTCCACTGTTTTTCTAATACCCATCTACACTGTTTTTGTAATAGCCACCTACCTATTTATGTAATGGAAAAAGCAGTCTAAAAAATAGGGTTACTTTCTAATAGTACGTGATGACTGTTGAGTCACTTCATCTTTTGCTTTGCTACATATTCATGCCTCTTTATTTTGTGAAGGTTGTATTCCTGTAAAATTTCCTGGCACTACTGCACTCGGGTACATGTGCACACTCAATATATTCTGCTCAGAATTTGGAGCTGGAAACAGAATTTGCCAGAGTGTCTCTGAGTGCATATTCCAAACACAGTGCAGGAGGTTCACCAAACCAAGCTGATATACACTTGCCTGCCAAAGCAGTTTTCTCAAAAGTCATAAAATGCAGGAGAATAAAACCTGAATCAAAACAGAATTTTTATTTATTTATCAATTTTTACAGGATAAATGCTAGTGTCCTTGCCAGTTTTCAGTCCCCTATGATGTGTGGTTCAAACAGCAGGCTGGCAACAAATTTTCCCCACAGAAGTGTAAGTGTAAACCTGACCAGACTTTTAATACAGGTTGCTAAAGAGAATGAAAGAAGGCTCACACAAAAAGCATTTGCAGCCTTGAGAATCCTTTGTTTGCTTCTTTTCACCACAATTGTCTTA